AGTAGCATAAGAGAGCGAGATAGTGGACAGGGTCACCACTGTAGGAACAGATATGCTCGCAGTGTGATAGCAGCAGAGATAGCGTAGCGCACATTAAACAGAGGCTCTCACTGACAGCGGCTTGGTCGATGCTCCAGCTAAGGTTACATTGTCACACATCATACCAGTAAATCAGCAATCATGTTATAATAAAGTAAAAAACATTCTGATTTCTCTTATTTCTTATGGACATCTTTTGCGCTGTTGTATCACATTTGCACCCGTCGGCCACCGTACAGATTACATTTTTTAAACTATTGGCATCACTAGCTTAGTTTATTTGTAAGCCTGCATGGTAAGGTTATCTTAACAATGGTGACGTATCTGCACAGCTGGGTAAAGTTAATACGAAATATGATAACAAAATAAGACACGGCTCTGAACCATGAGGGACTACTTTTCCTGTTTCTAGAGGAGGTGAGCATGGTGTGTGTTGGCAGACTAAGTGTAGGTAAATGTACAGGACACACAAAAGGAACACATTTTATATTACTCCAAGATCTGTTTTCTCACTTTGGACCATTCTGGGTATGCAACCAAGAAATAGACATTTCTAAAGTGGAAGCATTGAATTATGGGGACACACAATTTAACAGTTGAAAGAAAAGGTCTGAACGCAAAGATTTGCTGTATTCACACACAAACTTTCAGCAGTCAAAAGTTGTTATTTGCACTTCAAACCTTTACAAGATAGAAAAAACTGAATTAATGTACAGTAACTGAATGGGCACAATACCAACTTTAACTGTACCAAATAAAATTGAAGGTTGAAGCTTGTTCCATTTAATACAACATGTGTCATCAGAGTGAACAGAAGTGCTTTTGTCCTGACAACTTTCTAAAAATAACACTTTTTAAACTTTAATAACACTTTTTAACTCGCTGGTTTGTACATATAAACCCAACAGCCGTAATCCTTTGCGTCCTGAATATTCACATTTCTCTTAGACCTATTCTTTGCACAGTTTTGAAATGAACCAGATCTCAAAATGTTAGGGTCTTTCATTTAATGAGGCCCATTACAGAGAAATGTATTTTGTCTGCATCCTGTTGAATAAAGCGGGTATTTTCTGTGTGTGGAGCGCTCTGAGTCTGGAGGAAATGGTTGTATAGACGTTTATATTGGCCGCTGAGTTGGTCTGTGTAGGAAGGAGCCTGTTAACCGACAGCTCTGACGTCTCCAAGTCTTGATTAAAGGTCACCGTCATGTTACTGCATTGATGCCTGAATGATATACGTTATTATAATCAGTGTTGGAAGAAGTACTCAGATCCTTTACTCTACTCTACAAGTACTATAGTGTTCAAATACTCAATTAGAAGTGAAAGTCGTGGTTTTAAATTGTACTCAAGTGCAAAAGTATTAGCTTCAAAATCGACTCTACTACTACTACTAAGTACAAAACAACACATTTTGCACAATGGCCCATTTCAGAATAATATAAAAGGTATTATCAGCGAAATGTACTTCAAGTATTAACATTAAAAGTATTGGATTTACAGAATTGATCTTTTCACAGTACATTATTATGGTGATTATATTATCCTGTTTATAACTAACTAAAATTGATGTAAGAGTATTTTAATGTTGAAGTTTGTCCAGCATCAAATGGAAATACCTAATTACAGTACAAATATGTCAAAAAAGGTTATTTATTAATACATTTTGTGTTTGTTTTATGAATGTAATCACTATAAAGATTGAACAGTGAAGTCTGCAATCTGTAATATAACTTCTACGTGACTCCAAAGAATAATACAATACAAATTATGAAATAAAATGTAAAATAAATGAATACATGAATACAATTAAATACTGAATGGATGTCTTCAAGTAAAGTACACATCTCTCACAAAGCACAATCTTCCAGTAAATGTACGTTATTAGTTTCCCCCACTGATATTAATGTACAGAGCAGAGAAAATAGACTGCGGAGGGTCTACTTTATTTGGGGTTGGACCCTGAAGGAAGGGCTGGTGTTGGTGTGAAGCTTTATACAGTCTACAGTGTAAAGGGCTATGAATAGGACGAATGGAGAGGAAGAGGAGGAGGGAGTGAAACTGACTGACAGCTCTATCGTCTGACGAAGGAAAGAAGGATGAGGAAAACGGGAAGAGAGAGGGAACGCCGGGGGGGGCGAGGAGGTTTCCAAAGTTGATTGCTCCGGGAGGAGACAGTAAACGGTTGCGGGTCAGCTGGAGGCAGGCCGGAGAGTTGTAACTGTGGTAATGAGCTCAATACGCTGTGGGTATAAAAAAATAAAAAGAAACTGTGATGTTTGGAGCGTTCCCCCGGCAACAGGGGAGAGACGCAAACGCCAAGAAGAGCGGAGACCAGGCGGAACAAAAGAGTCGGGTGTCTCTTAAATGTAGAAATATACATTCAGCAGCAAAATCGGGCTCGATGAAAGCAACTGTGTGTTCACAGATACAGAGGGGATTTGTTACAGTGGGGGGGGGGGGGGGGGGGGGGGGGGGGTGTTTAAGTCAATAGCACTCCTGTTTTGTTATTTATTTGAGGTGAATCTCTCATTTATTCGTACTTCATTGTATTTCATTAATTCTGTTTTTGTCACCTTCCCTGCTTTTAAATGAAGTGCTCCTACTTCTGCTCCAATTCAGACCAGTTTTTAATATTAATCTGTGGTTGGATTAACTGTCTTTAAACCATGTTGTTGCATATTCATATTTGTCCTTAAAAGTCGGCTTCTTTTTCTATGCTTCTTGGGGTTTCCCTGTCCTGTAGTGTGTTACATACAGTACTGTAGGTTTAAGTGCATGTAAATGGTCTGCAAAGGATAAAATCCCAAAGTTCCCTCTAGACGCAGTTTCTCTCCCACACCACTATGTAACCCTCGCGCTTCTATTGGCTAGCGCTCCAACACATTGTACATGATAGGCTAAGAGGCAGGATATCTCTGAGCGGTTGACCAATCACAACAGAGCCGGCCAGCTAACCAATCAGAGCAGACTGGGCTCTGGTTTCAGACAGAGGGTGAAAAGCGGTGCTGCAGCACAGGCAGTATGAGGAAAATAAAGAGCTTTTTTGAACTAAACCATGGAGACATGTCACATAGAGACACTACATACTAATATGAACCTGCAAATTAGCAGAATAGGGCCACTTATTGTAATAGCCTGATCATCAGGACTGTAAAACCTCTGAGATTGACTCTTCTGAACCAATTAATTTCTTTGTGATGAAGACAAAAGCATTATAGAAGCAAATCCAATTGTAAGCATGATATAAATGAAGCCTCATGAAAGAGAGAAAAGGAAAATGAAGTCTATAAAGTTGCTCCAAAAGGCAGCAGTCCAGCATCAAACCAGCAAGCGCACAAGCCAAACCTATTTCAATCTTAACTAAACAAAGCAAAGACAGCTCCTTATTGCATTTGCCACAAGAGCTTTCAAGTAAAACCAAAAGTAGACCAACTTCAGGGGATATTTGCACATTTTGACCCACGTCTGCTGTCAATCTGTGTTTTGGATCAGCGTACCTCTATCGATGCTCTCCTGGTGCATTTTCCAAAACAGTGCATTAGTTTTCCATCCGTCTCCTCCCGTTTACCATGAGCATTCATATGTCTATAACTACTTCTGATGTTTATCAATGATGCTCTGTACTGCATCTGATGGAGCGAAGCATCTCTTTGAGAACTTAAAGGGGACCTAACATGCAAAATGCACTTTGTGATGTCTTTTATACATAAATATGTGTCCCCGGTGCGTCGGGGAACTCACGCAGCGTCAGAAAATAAAACCCTCTCTCTTTTCCTCCGTACCCAAATCTTTTAAAAACGGGTGTACAACGAGCGTGTATACAGATTCCATCCGAAAGTTGCTATCAGAAACAATGCCTGACGTGTTTTGGACGTAATCTCGTCTTTGTTTACATTAGCCAGCCTCGCTAACACTCAGAGCTAACCTGTACTGGAGAGAGCATGTGTTTAAAAAGCAGGAAATAAAAAAAGGAACTCACCTTGTGATAAACCTGCAAGAGAAAAAGCATTTAAGCTCCATACTGTTTCAGAAATAATCCTTGATGTGGTTTAGAACAGGATGGCGTTTTATCACAGCAGAATTTAACTTTATCTCCGGTAGAATTCTGATCAGGCATTAGCTCCGCCTCCTCTTTTTCTTTTTTTTCAAGCTAAGGACCCAAGATCCACATTTCTCTAACAGGGCTGCAATAGAGGGGTTTGAGCAGTATGAGGCATGGCTGCAATGGGTGAACTGTTTGGTATTTTGAAAAAAAACTTCACAGACATGTTTTATTTAGGTATGGCCCTACAATATATGTTTCAAATATAGCATGATAGGTCCACTTTAAATCACCAGACTCTTTCAAAAAATGTCAAAAGCCATGACCGCTTTCTTTCTGTTGTTTAGCACTTCAAGCTTAAAAAGGATTTCTCATTGGACCCAACCTTTATTCTCATCCTCCTATTTACCAGGAAGATCTAACTACGTCTCTAACTACATCTGATGTCTATAAATGATGCTCTGTAGTGGATCTGATCGTGATACAGTTCCAACCATCTCCTTAGGAAATATAAATTCAATCTACGGTCACTTTACATTAGAATCACCAGAATTATACTTCCTAAAACAATGACCACTTTCCCTGAGCCTATTGTTCGGCAACACTAAAAAATAACTTCTCGTTGGACCCGAGCCTTTATTCTCGTCTCTGGTCTAGTTTTCCACTTCTGCCCTTTTTATTTCACTCCCTCCATCTCCCTCTGTCTTTCCCTCTTTTCTTTAGTCCTTTGTTAGGCGGTTGCTTCCTGCGGTGAGCATGGCACTGCCCAGGCACATGTTCTGTGGCGGGCCTGATTACAGCCCTGCCGTAGTGCTGACATTGGCCCGCGCCTACTCCTCATCTATAAACACACGCGCACACACACACACACACACACACACACACACACACACACACACACACACACACACACACACACACACACACACACACACACACACACACACACACACACACACACACACACACACACATACACGTACACACACGCCGGCCCCTAAGTTCCACCAACTCTGCCAGCGGCTACCGCGGCATGACTTCACCCGGCAACCATTTCTTGCGTCAAACAAAATGCCTCTGTCACCAGAAAAAGGAGGAGGAGGAGGAGGAGGAGGAGGAGGAGGAGGAGGAGGAGGAGGAGGAGGAGGAGGAGGAGGAGGAGGAGGAGGGGGAGGAGGAGGAGGAGGAGGAGGAGGAGGAGTGTAGATGTGCGGAGGGTTTCAATGTTCTCCACCACAGTTTGGGAGCGTGGTGGTGGAGGTAATTTTAGCTGGAAGGGCCCAAAGGCAGGGCGCTTGTAGAAGTTTTTTTGTCTCAGAAGTGGAGTGGCAGGCAGAAGTGGGGGAATCTGAGAGAGTGGAGGATGGTGATGATGATGATGATGATGATGATGATGATGATGATGATGATGATGATGATGATGATGATGATGATGATGATGATGATGATGATGGTGGGAGGTTGGGGAAGATGCTGTTGGTTAGCTGGACCCATAAGGGCTCTACTGTTAGGTTATCGCATGATTAACAACATGACTCATATTCTCAGATACTGCAAAAAAAAGAAAAATGCATCAAAAAGAAATTTCCCATTTTGGTCGGACTTTCCTTCATTCCAACTTATTTAAAAAGATGCCAGTCAAACACAGAGACTTCATCCAGGCAATAAGAATTAAACATTTCAAATCATCTTTTTCACAGATGCGTCGTGTTTTAAAAACTGCGGTTAATAAAGCGGTCCTAAGCTCTTTTGGGTTTAGGTGTTTTTTTTATCTTGTAATAATTATTTGTAATACATGAACTTAAGAGGAAATTATTCAAATTCCAGATATTTTAGTCATATATATTATAAATACTTTCTTTCCAGTGTTTGGGCCCCTATTCTAAAGTTTCAGATACCTATTGGCGTGTCCCATTTCACAAATCTCCATTATGCCTTGAAGATTGTCTTTTAAGCGGTTTGTGAACACAATGAATGAAATCATATTCACTTGCAGCTTATAACATTTTCTATTTATTTCTTGTGTTGCAGGAGCGGCTGCACTATGAGACGCTGAGCCAGCACCTGGGGAAGCTCGGGGAGGATGCTGGGAAAATGGTGCATCGGGTGATTGACCTGACGAGACCAGAAGATCTGGATGGTAAGCGTCTCCGTGATATTTTTACGACCTGTTTTCTAGCATTATCTCATGATTTGTTGAATTAGGCCTGTTTCTCCTACTTCTCAGAGTCTTGCAAACCTCATTTTTAGTTCCTCCTAATCTTTTTGATTCCTAAATATATGCAAATGTCGAAAATACATCATAAAATGGAAGGCTGGAGGGATATATGAGGAAGGAGAATCTGGGTTTCTGAGAAGCAGGGTCTCAGTTAGAAGCGGTCACATCCTGTTCAGACTAAATTGATACCAGTGACCCTTAACTCCGCGGGGCCCCTCGTAGAAAAGAGGCCCCGCTTCTAGTGTTCGTCCGTCTCAGAAATCCACAATACAGAAGAAGTGATCGTCAAGAGAACATGCAGGTATTCAGGGAACACAAATATTTATTGTGCTCCTCAGGAAGCACACCCTGAACAGCTAAACAGTGCGTGTTCAATGTCAACATGTTACGCTCTTGAAAAATTACACTGTTATTTTTTTCTTCCTGAAAGTACACGACAAGAGGTGGAACTTTTCTCCTTTTTTCCACACCGAGTGTTTGTGACTAATCCCACCCAGTACAAGTATGCGAGCAGACGAAGACAAGCAAGGAGTGTGTCGTCAATAAAGTTAACAGCATAAAGAAATGACCTTATTTTATTCTGTATTGCATGCTGTTAGCGGATATTACTTTATAAGGTCCCTTATATGAATGAAGTCGAAGGACATGGTGTTATTTCTTTTTTATCCAAACCCACCTGTTGCTCATAAAGCCCCAGTGTTTACGGGGGATGAGGAGACTCATTGTGGTTTAGTTAAGAATCAGAGCACTAAACACACCAGCAAGGGCAATGAGATGCTATCAGGCGGAAGTGTGTGTGTGTGTGTGTGTGTGTGTGTGTGTGTGTGTGTGTGTGGGGGTGTGTGTGTGTGTGTGTGTGTGTGTGTGTGTGGTGTGTGTGTGTGTGTGTGTGGTGTGTGTGTGTGTGTGTGTGTGTGTGTGTGTGTGTGTGTGTGTGTGTGTGTGTGTGTGTGTGTGTGTGAGAGAGCACGTTGAGGGCTCGAGACCCCCATTAGACTTTTGTTATACTTTTGTTATACATCCTCTCCCACGGAACAGGGGGTTAAGAAACAAACAGGAAGGGCTCATCCATAACAGAGCAATATCCTGCATTTCAAGTGTGAAAGTATGAAAGATAAATGTCTCAATGACAGGCGTGTAGTAGGGTATTATTTAAATCCTCAAGTAAAAGATCAAATCTGATTATTTTCTTGATTAATCCATTACAAAAAATGTCCATCCCAGTTTGTTAGTTATTCGGTAAGCGTGAAAGTATGACAGATACATGTCTAAATGATGGGAATTAAGTGAACTACAGGGTCGCAAGAATCAGTTATTATCATTATCAAATAAATGGCTGGTTACTTCCTTGTATAATCTTTACATCCTATGGTCTTTAAAGAGACTGAAAATGGTAAAAGAATGGTCCAACCAGGGTTACAAATAATCAACAATGATGCATGTCGTTGTGTCCCTGAGACTCTTCACCCCAAAGTGCTCCTGTGGGGATTGCCCACAGTATTGAGTATGTAAGTTGCTTTGGATAAAAGCGTCTAACAAGTATCATGTAATGTAATAATTTATTTAAACGTTTATTTATAACATTTAAATACATTGTCATTTAAATGTTTTGTCAGTCCAAAACCCAGAGAAAATGTAGTTCAATGTGGTTAAGAATGGAGGCAAGCAGGAAATATCCATATGTTCTGCCATCATTACAAGATAATTGGCTATTATGTTTTGTCAAACAACATATCGTTAACTCATTGTTTCAGCTGTAATATAGAGTTAGTTGTTCCTTTGTGTCTCACAGGCAGCAACATCACGGAGGCGCGGGTGTTCAGGGAGGCTCGGGGCAGGAACACCGCAGAGCCGCACATCAAGAGGCCGATGAACGCCTTCATGGTGTGGGCCAAAGACGAGCGGAGGAAGATCCTGCAGACCTTCCCCGACATGCACAACTCCAACATCAGCAAGATCCTAGGTGAGAGATTACATAGATCATTATTTAACAGAAGGAGAGAGAGTGTTCAACACAGAACCGTCAGCTCCTTATCGTCATGAACATAATCTAACTGTCGGATTGTCTTTATTTGTATGTCCTTGTGGGAGCATTTGATTCTCATTTAGTTAACGCAATTTACTTTTGGATTGATTTTCACGAGAAAATGTATTAACGCTTGTGGTAAATATTATACACTCCTATTGTCTTCGTTCCCCCCCTTTACTTTGGTGTTCGCGGTCAAATTTGACCGGTCCTGTTTTAACTGCTATTACATTAACACAAAAACCATTAATCATCACCACATTTCATTTAACACCCTTTCAAACTGTACATATTGTATCAGAGTACTGGCATACATGAAGAACTGCAGTAAATATACAAAGAATAGACACTGAACATATATTGTGTGTGCGTGGTGTGATCCATGTGGGGGGATGGGCACATACGGGTGGGGGAACACATCTAGTGTGTGTGTGTGTGTGTGTGTGTGTGTGTGTGTGTGTGTGTGTGTGTGTGTGGTGTGTGTGTGTGTGTGTGTGTGTGTGTGTGTGTGTGTGTGTTGTGTGTGTGTGTGTGTGTGTGTGTGTGTGTGTGTGTGTGTGTGTGTGTGTGTGTGTGTTTATGTGTGTGTTTTATCTGATCCGGATGGTTACTAATTCCTTTTCTTCATGGCGGTCATTTTTGACCGGGAACACCATGGGTTTTACAAAGTTGACTAAATCATCCAACATTCAATGAAAGTGGTGATCAGCTATTTGATATGTTCAAATGTCTACTGTGAAGGATATCATAAAGCCTTAATGCAATCGAATGTAAAACAAAAAAGTTGTGATTGATGAAAGTAGTAAATCGGTCAGATTTGACCCGAAGACAACAGGAGGGTTAAATAGAATACAAAATAATAAGATGTATTTATAGTCACTGAGACATGGGCTAACACATTTATTTGTATGCGTCCCCCCATTTACCTCTTACCTTTCTTTGCACACAAATACCTCATATACTATACACTAGGACACTCAGCTTCTTTTATCAGTATTTTAAACACCTATTTTTCAATTTAGATCAAGGTTTTCTTTCAAATCCCTTTATTTCATTGTTGTTCATGATGGAAATCCTAGACACACAGACACACAACGCATCCACGATGAACTCTTCATGGTTGTGAGAGTACATTTCCCTTTCTTATTCAAACACACATTTATAATTTGCCTCGTTGATGTCCCTCTAACCTGCAGATGTCAAGTCTTTCTCTCCGCTCATGAGGTCCCTCTACATCCTACAGTTCACAGGGTCTATTAGCTGCAGGCTGCGCGCTATAAGAAGGCCCAGTGTGCTTTTTAAACGTGGAACACTTCACACACAGAGCTCCACTGTGTCGGCCTGACTAGTGTGATGGATGCATTCAGTTATAAAGTAGCCGTGTTGATACTAACCTCCTGGACACAGATAGCCATTCACACGGGGCTGAGCACAGCGGTTGTTCTGAAATGTCCTGAAGACCTCCACTGTCCTGAGCCGGGCTTTAGTGAGCGCTGAATGTAAATGTTCCTCCTGAGAAACACTAACAAACGGACTTGTATTAGGTGGCTCTGTGTGTTCCTCCATCAATGGGCTCGGATAAAAGGGTTCATCAGTTTCATCCAATGCTTCTTGATTTGTGATGGGATGCAAAGTAACTTAGTACCTTAACGTTAAGTTCTATACTTAAGTACATCTTTGAGGGACTTGTACCTAACGTATACCCACAACAATTCAAAGGTAACCCTAACCCTAACCAACAGTACACATATCCATTGCATTGATTTAATACCATACTGTAAGTTACTTAGCAGATTTGGATCGATGATGTGAAATATAATCAACTCTTAAATCAGACCTTAGTTACACCTGGAGTAAAATAACAAGCTACCCTGCAGTATACACAGTCATTCAAACTAGCTGCACCTTTACCAGCTTTGAGAACACTTTAATGATCAATCAATATAATCAAAACATATCATATAATAATGAAAATGGCCTTGTGTAACATTTCAAATGCAGACTTTTAGTTGTAACACCTTTACCTCAAATCTGAGTACTTCTTCCACCTCGGATCATTAGTGTAGACATGTCTGATATGTAAGGGATTATTGATATGACTGACCATAGTCCCTTGATCTTCCATAGCAACAGTCTGTTGTCTTTAGCAACAGCCGGTTAGCAAGAATTAACAACCTCTTGAATGTCCGAATTGATGGTTGATTGATCAGAATCGAGTATTCAACTACTGTACTTTCATCTCTCAATAGTTAAATTATTTGATTTGGGACATTTAAGGTCACATATGAACAGGCAGTTGGCAAGAAGCCTTCAGAAAGTATTTTCAAGTCATTCCTGACCCTGTGTGGCAGTATAAGGACAAAAAGCAGAACTTAAAGTGCACAATTGTGTATGTATATATTACTGCTTGTGTACAATGCATGTTTCTCCAATGTAATAACACAGCTGGACTTTAGAGAGTGGGTGGAAGGCTTAAAAAAAAGAAAAACCCCTCTCTGTTTCCTGTGTCACAAAAGTACAGGAGTATTTTGTGATAAACCTTGATAAACAGAGGAGCGAGGCGGGGTGTGTATAATCGGTTGTCAGATTGCTTCGCAGATGTGCTGCGTTCCTGCGGTAATGGCCCTGTCCACTTGTTCAGAAGGTCCTCTTAGCGGGGGAAATGAGAAGTACACAACGTATCATTCTTCTCGAGCCAAGAGGGAGCAGAGTGTAATCCACTCCTGATTTTAAACAGACTCGATGGTGTCTGTTCACATGACAACATCCGAGCTCACAAAGATAAAACACCAGAAATGAACCCACCAAGGCTCTGAGACGGTTTGAAGTGTTGGTTTAATGAGTGACATTTTGTTAGCGTTGTGTGATCACTCATGCAGTAGTCATTACATCTATTTTACCACAAACTCTGTGCTCAACCGGTATCAGTGAACGAGTTTAGAAAACACCTCAAAACCATTTTTTCACTTAAGTCCTGTGAGAAAGTTGAAATGGTGTCACTCGCTATAATTCCTGAAATGTGGATTTCCCTAATAATAATACTCAAAAATGAAATGCCTTTGAGATGCCTGATAGTGACAATATATCTTATAAATCCAATATGCGGAATATAGTTTGTGCGGGTAATTCTCTTTCCCACGTCAAAGAGTCAAATTAAATGCACACATTTGATTCTAACCTGGCTATTAAATGTATCTCTGAGTACGATTTGCTAACTTGTGCCTGAGCGTCAGTTTGCATGAGAATGGGTATTTTTCCTAAAATAATGAGTTACATAACATATAAAACATTCAAATGTCATTCATTAGGTAATTAAGGGGGAATTTAATCACATCCATTTAATTGTATTCCATAGCGATTTCTATAAGGTCCCAGTGTGGATATAAAATAAGAAAATAGGTTAGTGAGGTCAACTCCAGGGTTTATGGACCATCCATAATAAACGTTTTTCGGTTATCTGCTACTCATAAGATAAGGATAAACTAAATCAAAACTTCGAATCAGACTAAGTTAAAACCTTCACATTTATATATCTGTTGTAATTTATTGTCTTTTATTGTGATTGTAGTAATGTGTTTTTATTACATGTACAGCACTTTGGCTCGACCAAAAATCGCTTTTAAATGTTCTTTATAAGTAAACCTTGATTTGATTTGATTCATCTTTTTCTGCAGGCTCTCGCTGGAAAGGCATGACCAACCAGGAGAAGCAGCCGTACTACGAGGAGCAGGCCCGCCTGAGTAAGATCCATCTGGAGAAATATCCCAACTACAAGTACAAGCCGCGGCCGAAGAGGACCTGCATCATCGATGGCAAGAAGCTGCGCATCGGAGAGTACAAGCAGATGATGAGGTCACGGCGCCAGGAGATGAGGCAGTTCTTCGTGGGGTGAGTCCAAAGAAATGTCTCGATGAACTTCACAGATTAGGACAAATGTTTGTAAGGACAGTTCAAATTAAACCTTGTGTAGAAATGCAATGGCTGCATGGTGCAGTTTGCAATGAGTTTCTTTATGTTACAGCTACTTTTTGAAGAAGCAAGGTCAAATTCCCAGAGAAATAGCTCGGCCCAAAAATGTTTCTCATTCAATGCATCGAATACAAGAAGGCAGATTTCTAAAAGAGGTCATTGTTCACGAGCCTCGGATCACACAGGCTTTGTGTCTCCTGCTCAAGAACACTTTGACTAATTTACTGCTGCACCTGTGACCTCTCAGTTCACTCGTTTCTTCTTTAATAAACATGCCATCCTGCTCGGTGAATATGGACATTCAGGCATGAATAATTAGATAAACAAAAACATGAAGCACCACATGTAAATCAAGAAGGAATTTGAGGGGGATTTCAATCACATTCTTTAAAAGAAAGTATTTATTTATTTCTATGGGCTCTTTTGACCAAGTTTGATTATAAAATACATTTTCCTTAATACAGGTATTTGCTAGATGTTTGCGGGGTGACCATCAGGGTTTATGGACCGTTCATGAAACCATTTGCCTCGTGTCATGCTCTAAAATGATTATATCTGTAAAACCCTTTAAGCACTCGCTGCAGAGCATTGTATTTCTGAGTGAGAGGGGAAAAACAGTGGCATTGTCTTAATAGGAACCAGCCATGGATGTGTTTAAAGCCATCACAGCGGCCTGTGCTTCAGATGGATTTACCAGAGGCCACGGCTTTGAATAGGAGCGATTTTTAATAGCTTGTCATTTATTAAATTAGGACAATGCTGGGCGCTTGCGGGCAGTGAAATTGGACACAGACAGACATGGTGGAATATGAAATGTAAGCAGATGTTTGAGAGAGAGGCAGACGTCACAGGCTCGATGCCACATTATACTGTGTGTGGTCAAGAGAATGAAAAAAAGCTCATGATTCTCCAGGCCTGCTTTTTCAATCAAAGCTAAATCAAAAAGCGTGCGAGAGCCAGTACACAAGCAGTTTGCTGGCACTTTCCACGTCACTAAATCAGTGTTGTTTTAAAGCGTTTAAAGTGAGAATTAGTCTGTCAGAGCGTTAGGCGGTAATTGTTTCAGGAGACAGAGGGAAAACGGTTAGGTGAGAAACGTGACGGTAATTTTCCTGCTTTATGTGGCTCATTTGAGGAGCCAGAGGGCCTGTTTGAGTGATGTGCGTTTACCTCCATTCCAGCTTCATCTTAACAGGTTATTTAGCTGCTGTGAGCTGGCAGGGCGCTCCTGTTAGGACAGGCCCGACAGAAGAGAGGAGAGCTGCTCTAAGTGGCCTCAGATGAATGTTTTGTTCAAAGCAGTTTGTTTAAAGGAACATATAATGAATCAGTATCTGATCAAACAAAGTTCTCTCCACGTTGTTCAGAAGCTCCTTGATTACCAAATCATTTAAAACGTTTCATAAATATTTCTACGCAGTCTGTTTCTTTATCGTCCAAGACATGTCTGTTGGTAAGTGCTCCACATTTCAGTATCTCAACAACTATAAGATGGGTAGCTATGACATTTTGTAGGGACATTCGTGGTCCCACGCTCCAACACATTGTACGTGATAGGCTAAGGGGCGGGACATCTCTAAGCAGGTTGACGAAATCACAACAGAGCCGGCCAGCTAACCAATCAGAGCAGAATGGGCTCTGGTTTCAGACAGAGGGTGAAAAGCGGTGCTGCAGCACAGGCAGTATGAGAAAACTAAAGAGCTTTTTGAACATTAAACCATGGAGACATGTCACAGTAGAGACACAACATACTGATATGAACCTCAGAATTAGCTTAAAGGTGGGGTAGGTAATTTTGGAGAAACCAGCTCGAGTGCGCTAGAATTTGAAAATACATGACCGGAAAAAATCTGCCACTTCCTTACAGAGCCCCTCCTCCAACACACACGAACGCGCACATGACCAATGAGGGCACGAGATAAGTTTGTGCACAGATGGAAGGCTGACAGGCAGGTAGGCCATCCAGTTACTTTAGCCGGGCCGGCTCAGATGATTGGTCGTGCTTTTTACAGCGCCCACAGATGACGTTTTTTTATGGATTTTTTGTCAAAGCACTTCAGATATTCATTGCTATCGGGATTTTGAGAGCATTCCATGGAATATAACAAAAAGTGCATCTCGAGCCGGTTTCTCAAACTTACATACCCCACCTTTAATAGGGCCACTTATTGTAATAGCCAGATCACCAGGACTGTAAAACCTCTGAGATTGACTCTTCTGAACCACATAATCTCTTTTTGATGAACACAAAAGCATTATAGAAGCAAATCCAATTGTAAGCATGATATAAATGAAGCCTCATGAAAGGAAAAATCAAGTCTATAAAGTTGCTCCAAAAGGCAGCAGTCCAGCATCAAACCAGCAAGCGCACAAGCCAAACCTATTTCAATCTTGACTAAACAAAGCAAAGACAGCTCCTTATTGCATTTGCCACAAGAGCTTTCAAGTAAAACCAAAAGTAGACCAACTTCAGGGGATATTTGCACATTAAAGCATGGAGACTTGTCACAGAGTAGAGACACTAAATACTAATATGAAACCTGAAAATGAGCTTTAAAGGGCCCCTTTAAATAAAAGATCTGAGTCCTTCCTACCTATCAATGTTGTTATTGTTAACTTATGATTAACACTTTCCTCCCTTGTTTCTCAGGCCTCAGCCCCCCATGGCTCTCAGCGGCAGCAGCCCCGGAGGAGTAGGAGTGTACCCGGGCGCCATCACCATGGCAACAACAGCTACCCCGTCCCCCCACCTGACCTCAGACTGCTCCAGCAACTCCGCCAGCCCCGAGCCCGCCATCCCCGTCATCCAGAGCACGTACGGGATGAAGCCCGAGCCGGCGGTGGGGGGCGGCAGGGGGCGAGCCTTAAATCGGCCTAGCAACCGGGCCAACGGACAGGAGGACATGGACATGTACGCGGACTTTGACGAGCAAAAGTCAGACTATAGCAGCGACCACGAGACACGGGAGGCCGTCAGCGCCAACTGAACTCGGGTTGTAAAAAGAGGAAGATAAATAATGAAAAAACTCCCATTATACTCAGAGACACTTTTAAAAAACACACAGTTTATTATAGAGACCTTCAGGCGGACCTTCAGGACGAACATGCTCAGAACAAGGAAAGTATCTGTGATGGACATTCGAGGACGAGGACTGATGGGACATTCAGAACTGAAGATGAACTTCCTACACTTTGACAATCTCAACAGGACGGATAAGAGTTAGAAGAAAGAAAGACAGAGAATGAGACAGAACGGGGCAAATGAGCGACGAACACATTGCCGTGTGGTTTGTAAAGAGCATGCATGGATTTTGAAGCATCAGGAATTGGTCTTCAACAGCTATTGGTCTTAAATGTTTAAGGAGTGATTTAGTTTTTATCTTTCTGTATTTACTTTTTTTGTGCTTTTGTTCTATAGACTTTTTTTCTGACCTGTACAAACTCTGGACTGTCGGAACTTGAAATTTGAAAAGTTTTAATATAAATCCTAGCTATTGTAATCTTATAGTCTTACTTTTGTTTCTTACATCTACACTTTGTTTTTCTGACAAACTGCTTACATTACTTTTAGTTTTTCTTTTTTATATCCCTGCTCAGGTATGATGTGCCAGCTTGTGAATGTGTTGGTTTTTTTCGTTTTCTTACAAAAAGAGTGGTAGGATTTTCAGACTGTCTATGAAATAAAGGGAGCAAAATCCCTTATAATATCACAATATTATTATTATTATTATTATTATTAGACTAAGTAGGTACCCAGGCAGGCATTGTACAGATTTACTTCAAATGTGCCAAATCTACATTCACATTCACTCGGGATGTTCTAGTCTTAACTTCAAATGCTGCAAAAAAGTCTTACACAATCATCCTTTTCTATCTGATGACATGAGGAGGGGATCATTACGCTGGCCTAGAAAAACACACACACACACACACACACACACACACACACACACACACGCACACACACACACACACACACACACACACACACACACACACACACACACACACACACACACACACACACACACACACACCATGTACTGTATACATCACTTCAGGGGACATTACATTGACTTACATGCATTTCCTGGAGACTTATCCTAACCTTAACCATAACCAACACATGCCTGACCCTAACCCTTACCCTTACCAAGTCTTCACCCTAAAATTAATGATTCCCCTCATGGGGACCTCCATTATGTCCCCATAAGGGAGGCGAGTCCCCACATGTGACTGTGTAAACCGATTTAGGTCCCCACAAGGATGGTAATGCTAGGCCACACATACACACACACACACGCACACGCTTCAATCTCTAGCAGCCCATCGAGCTTTTAGACGTAGAAGAGGCTGTCCTTTAGTTCTGCTGCATCGGTGCTTTCATGAACAACATTTCCCATAGTCCCTTGAGGCCAAACACTTAGCACATTGTCCAGTATTTACCAGTATGGTGCAATTGAACACCAACATTTAGCATTTGAGTCCTTCTTTTTCAATCTGGCCAAAGGTACGGACTTTTTTTGGCTTCATTTCTGCTCAGACACTTTGAGTCTTAAAAAGTGTACCTTTAGTTCTCGTTAAGGGGCCCGATTATGCTTTTTCTGGGAGTAATATTGTTTTGTGTGCATGTAAATGGTCTACAAAGGCTAACATCCCAAAGTCTCTCTCCCACACTCGCCTCCATTGGACGCATTTGTGACATCACTATGTAACAATCCCACTTCTATTGGCTAGCGCTCCAATACATTGTTAGGATAAGGGGCGGGACATTTCTATTAGAAGTTGACCAATCAAAACAGAGCCAACCAGCTAACCAATCAGAGCAGACTGGGCCTTAGCATGTAAACATGTCACAGTAGAGGCGCAAAATACAAATATCAATCTGAAGATGAGCATAATAGGACCCCTTTAAGCGTCATATAAAAGGGGATGAGCAGCCCCAGTTTTACTCTACTGTACGATAAGAGTTTATAATATTCTGGATCCCTTCACTGTATTTTGAAATTGTGTTTTGAATCGGTACAAAAAGTGTACGAAATGTTACTATTTTTTAATATCCTTTGTTAATGTTTGTACATGTCTTCTCAGCATCACGTGGGAAAGATACACCAACATTTTGAATTTATATAGTTGCAAAACATGGGTTTAAGAGGTCTATTATTTCAAAAGGGTTCTGTGTTTATACATGGCATGTATATTTGGAAAAAGTTATAATGGAGGAAAACAGGTGATCAGCTTTTGAGTAAAACACCATTCAGAGGAACGTTCTTCCAAATGTTCCTCTGGTCAGTGCCATGCTGTGTGCGCACGTCTTTTCCTCTATAGTCACTCTCTCTCTCAGAAGACAGTCATTTTGTTTTGTCTTTTTCCAAAACACACTCTGAATTTTGAACATTTCAACACCTGTGTCCTCGGGTGGTTTGTGGGTGCACTGCTTATTTTACACGTAATCTTTTCTGAACATATTTCTACTTGGAAAAGCTTCACAAGCTGGGACTGAACATTGGTTTCTGTTTGCATCACAGTAAAAAAAAAAAAAAAGGTCTCATGCATAGACATTTCTATTATTGTCATACGCATCCTAAGCACTGGATATAAATGCTATGTTTTTGTTTTCTTTTAGTATTGACTAATGTGAAGTTGTTTGATTTTCACCATGATAATTAGAACTGTCTATAGGAAGCCTCACACATGCCAGGCACCAGTAAAATTGCCATTTCTTTAGAAGCATTTCATTTATTGACGCTGGTTTTGTTTCCGCAGCTCTGAAAGGGGTCACATCGCCTCTGATCTCTTTCTTTTTTCTTTTTTTTTAAACCTCATGCTCTTGTCAGTTGTGACCTGCCGAAGCAGAACACAAGTTTCCTGGTCGATTTCATTTTGTGATGAGTATTGTATTTGAAATTCAATTGTGCGTTTTAACATTTCATTGTATTTATTAGCCAGCTTTGGCTCTAAAAAACGTGTCAGTACAACTTGGTGAGAAAGACAATCAAAAAAATAAAAATAAATAAAAAGTAAAGACTTGAGATTTTCTTTACAAACCTGTCATTTCATCATTTCAAGCGTTTCAAAAACTGCTCGTGTGTGTGTGTGTGTGTGTGTGTGTGTGTGTGTGTGTGTGTGTGTGTGTGTGTGTGTGTGTGTGTGTGTGTGTGTGTGTGTGTGTGTGTGTGTGTGTGTGTGTGTGTGTGTGTGTGTGTGTGTGTGTGTGTGTGTGTGTGTGTGTGTGTGTGTGTGTGTGTGTAAGCAGGAGTTACAGGTAGTGCTGTGAATTTTCATTTCCATTACTCGAAAAACAGTGCCCCTACTTTCCAGGCATCTAATATTTTCCAACACACGCCGTTTTGTTTCCAAAGTCTTTATATTTTGGTGGCCCATTACTGTAAATGTGGCCTATTGTTCCATTGTGTGTGTGTGTGTGTGTGTGTGTGTGTGTGTGTGTGTGTGTGTGTGTGTGTGTGTGTGTGTGTGTGTGTGTGTGTGTGTGTGTGTGTGTGTGTGTGTGTGTGTGTGTGTGTGTGTGTGTGTGTGTGTGTGTGTGTGTGTGTGTGTGTGTGTGTGTGTGTGTGTGAGGCAACGCCACACATTCTGACTGCAGTGTGGTGTATACGGCGCCGGTGCTCCATGCAGCCAATCCCAGCATTCAGAGAGAGAAACTCAGCCATATGCAGCCACATCATAAATCTAATTGTAATTCCCAAATCAACTGTAGCGTCACCCTGCAAGGGGCGCCGGCAAGTTTGTCACACGCTCCTTTGTGTGCACTTGTGTGTGTGCTTTTAGCTGGGAGGGGTGTTTGAAATCATACTTGGGCTGTTGCCATGCTAATCTCGTTAAATAAGTCATCATAATTTACATTTCCTTTTTTCCTTTCTGAACATTTTGCTGTTCTGCAAGTTGACGGATTGTTTCTGTGTGTACATGTAAAGCTTTCAGCACCTTAACCTAGGATAGCGGAGTTTATTACAGTGTAGTCATACTTTCTTTAAACATACATTCATATTTATATATATTGAATTAATGTATCCCAGGAGGAAGTTGACGTAACCCACAATTTTCCATTCAGTTTACATGATTCCCCAGTTGTTAAGGCTACAAGAATATAGCACTGCTAAGGAGATAGCACCAAAAAAATTAAATAATTGGTATATAATTGTAAAAATGTACGTGCATGTATTATGGGAGCTTGGTGGTGCTTCCTACATCTGAATACTACTCACAAAATAATAAATGAGAGGCTATTTTTTAGGGTAATTCAATTGATAAACATGTACTTATACTAGCATATCTTGTATTTTATGTTGTATCTCAAAAACATCATGAAAAAAGTTAAAGTTTAGTATGTCAAAACATATGGAAGAAGTTATAATGAAGTATGTCAAAAAGTTTCATTATTGTATGTCCCAAATATAATGAAAAATGTCATAGTGTAGTATGTTTAAAAAATTTGAAGATTCAAAATATAAAACTGTCATAGTCATAGTACACCATGTAGAATATATCATGAAAAATGTTAGTATAATATGTCAAAAAAAAATCATGAGAAGGTATAGCATAGTATGTTAACAAATATTTTAAAAAAAAAGGTCATAGTCTATTATGTGGAAAAAAGTCACATTTTGGTATGTCAAAAATATTACAAAAAGTAGTTGTATAGTATGTCGAAACAAGTTGTGATAAAGTATGTTTGAAAAAGTCTGCTTATTGTATGTCATAATATCATGTCAAAGGAATGTATGGTTTAGTGTGTCGGAAAAAGTCTCAATATACTATGTCCACAAATATCATGGAAAAGTCATATTATAGTTATTTCAGAATCAGAATCAGTTTTTTTGCCAAGTATGTTAACACATCCAAGGAAGTTTGAGTTATGCTGTCCTCTAAGCAAGGAGAAATGACACATAGTGAAAATGAAAGCACACACCTATAATTCAGGATGTCTCCTATCAATGATAATAATTAATATTTGATCAAGGGCAGTGAAAATATTACTTCTAAAAAAACCTGTTCAAACCTGGGCATACCTACAACAAATCTTAAAGGTAACTATAAACAATAAATAACAAACCAAATGCTTAGTTTTTCAAATATTTTTAATATAAATTTCGATGGAATTGATTGATTTTTGTTGTTACAAGGAAAAATAATCATACATACATAATGATACAATTTCATACATCATCTTACCAATCAAACACAGGGTAAATTCAACTTTAATGTAGCTTACAATGAGCTCTTTTTATCAACTTGGCCTACTTTCATTAATTTCTCCATTGAAAAACTGGCTCAACTTACCCCAAGGCCCGTGGTTCACTTTACCCCATAGCCACCATTTTAGAAAAAATAGCCTAGCATTAAAATTCAGAGTCATCTTTAGCTTAATGATTCACATGGTTTAATACGCTGCCAACACCTCATCATATACAATATATGTGTTTAAACCCGGATACTTTTTTTTTTACATGATAGCCGATATAGCTGACATCTAGAAAATGTACTTTGACAAGCAAAAAACGTTTTTTTGTAAAAATGTTTACTTACCAGACCACAATGAGTATCTCTCTTTCACAGGCAATGAGTAATGGGTGGAGCTTGCATAATTTCTGGTCACTTGATTACTGTACAACTATAAGGCGTTGCCTGGTTACAGGGGGTGGTTCAATTTACCCACTGGCTCAACTTACCCCCTTCTCCCCTACATGATGATAAACACAGTTAAAGAAGATTCAAAGTAAGAAAAACAACCAATGTCAAAACTATCCTGAAATAAGTCATACTAACTGTGTCGAAAAACGAGGTCAAAGTAGTCATAGTACAGTATAGTATGTTGGGATAATAATATGACAAAAATATCAGAGTATGTCTAACATTTCCTGAAAAAAGTCCTAGTTCAGTATGTCAACAAAAAGTCAAATACATTTTTTTATAGGATAGTTTTTTAAACAAGTCCTATAGGGTGTTTCTCAATGTCGAGGACACTTCCTTGATAGGACAAGTCCCTCCGAGTCAGATCCTTCAGA